TTAAAGTTTTGATCATTCTTATTGGTCAATTTAACGATCAGCAAAGTAAAAACAGTCAATCGACCAACTTTTAAAGAGGATTTTACAAAAACCACAAGGACAACAACTGAATTTTTATTTATAGATTAATCGGCTGAATCTCAAAGATCATTTTTGTATTAGAAAGTGATGCCTTCAGAAAAAATTTTTTATATCAGAAAAATTTTATTGGCTATCAATAGCCGATTAACCATTTAATATTAAGGGATAACAAATAAAAAACCTAAATAAAAAAATTACTTTTTATTAAAATAAAATAATTATTTCTTAATCACTTTCATATCCATCTAACTCATATAATTCAATTGTGGTATCTGACTCATTTGATCTATTATCACTTTCTACATCACCTTCCCTAATCACATCATTTAAATTCCCTTCCACTTCTGATAATTCATTATCTTAATTTTCATCCTCATCTATATCAATACTACAACATTTTTGTGGCTGCTGTAATTTATAGTTACTATAAATATAAACCAACTTAAACACTTGTTCTGAGGTTAAATGATTGTGTTTTTGTCATGAATATATGAAAGGCTGACAAATTGCACTAAGAAGCAGCAGAAGATGAAGGAATTCTTTAAAATACATAAAGTGATCTTTGTTAAACCAGGGGCTGAATATTAGAATTGACTTTTCCACCAAGTTATAGAATCTACAGCATCAATTGATGCCCAACTAAGATTATTAACATAAAATAAAAAAATTTTTAATGTAGCATTACATATGTTCATTATTCATTGCGACATTATGTGCATTTTAAAAAATTCAGTGCGCATTATGCAATTTTGCCCATCTCTAATAATGATAGCCTTTTGCTCAAGGGCTTTGATTCATTTCAGTTGTTCACCCTTGTCTTGTTTACATTCATTGGCTGATTGCAAACTCGCTTTGGTTATTTACAAAACAACTCAAGTAGATTGTTTAACAGCCTTATGTTTATGATTACAATAATACTATCAGTATTTCCAATTAACACCTACAAGTTAATCCTAACCTTTGCTTACTCATTAAAGCAAATTACATTATTAATCATTGTTAACACCCACTATTTAACCAAAGTTAGTCCTAACCTTGCTTACTCATCAAAGCAAATAAAACTTGGCCTTTTTACAAAGCTCCATAATTGTTACCTTTTACCAGGGAACTACACTTGTTGTTTTTATCAAAGTGCTTGAAATAAAACAATGTTTTTATTTTTATTTTATTCATAAAGGCTTATTAACATTTAATAAAAATAATGATTCTATCACAAAGTTTTATTTTATCAAATGTTAACTATCTATTATTTTTCTCTGTGAGAGGACCAGAAGTTATGCTTTTTCAAGCAAAGGCCAGAAGTTATCTTTAATGGAATTTTCATTGATCACTACAATAAGGATAAGGATAAAGATAAAGATGGGTTAATTATTGCAAAATAATTTAATCAATCAATATTGATATTACAGTCAGGGAATTGTAATTTCTAAATACTGCAATGATCCATTTTCTAGAATACAATAACAAATTATGTTATACATGTATTAATATAAATATTGTATTTATTTATTTGCAAAAAAAATTTCACTTAAAATATACAATTTATAATCTCTTTTTTTGTATTCAAATTTTTTATTGAGTTCTACAAAATGAGTTAATTTAAATTAATATTAATATTATATAAAAAACTATTAATAATGAATTTTTTACTTTGTTTAAGTTTTCCTTGGTGTCATAAATCTTCTTGAGTCATTTATTCTGCATCAGTTTCATCAATCCCATTATGAAGATCTTGAACTTGTTGAAAAATTTGTAATAATTCATCTTTTCTTTTTGATTTAAGTCCTTTGAATTGTGGTAAATTAACCTTGTTTAAAGATTCAATTAATGCCAGAATTACACATATTAGATCATTGCTTGACATTGAGCTAGTTGCTGATTGTTTTTCCTCTTCTTCAATAGTGACAGGAATGGGGTAAGTATTTGGCAACTTATCTGAGGTTAACTTTTTTTAATGAAATTCTGACAATAGAAATGAGCTGTTGAACTAAATGTTTTCATTGCATTACTTAATTCAATATGCCCATCCAAACCTTTAAATGTAAAATTATTCTCTGATGGATTCAATAAATGTGACTTTCTTAATTCAACACAAAAATGTTGTGATTCTTTATTAAAGTCAAGAAGTTATTTAGGACTAAGGTTGCTTGCCAAAACTCCTCCAGAAATCAATCAGCAGGGTTTCGGCAGGTTACACATTAATTGTTTATTAGAGTTTTGGCAGAGTTTCGCATTTT